GCTTAATTACCTCCTTCTTGTGCAGTTCAGTTCTCCAGAGCCTTGCTAGTGACATAATTATTCTATTCAGGTATGGTGCAGCAGAGGCACATCTAAATGTTGCAGGGCACTGGCCCTCCAGGACTGGAGTTTGACACCTGTGCGCTAGACCTTAAGGTCGTAACAATTACACTAATGCCTTTTAATTTATTCCTCCAGGGCTGCAGGTTGAAGGTTTAAACCCAATAGGCCCCAATCACAATTACAGGGTATGTAGGTGAATCCATTGTCTTGCCAGGCAGCATCCCTGATTCATGGACTGTGAACAGAATTGACTGGACAATATTACACAACAGCACCTGGATTGCAACATGGGACCAAGCCGGTATAAATACTGAACGTCGCCCAGAATACGCAGGGAGGCTCAAACTTGACACAAAATCAGGTAAAAAGGAAATGGTCTGACAAAATGCAAATACATGTTGATTTCTATTTACAATGTGTTCTGTGTTTCTACAGCAAATTTAACGATCCAATCTTCAATTACGTGATGCGATGACTTATTATGTGGAGCTGGTCAACACAACAGTTTTCACCCTAAGAAACCAGGTCAATCTCATAGTGAAAGGTAAGTTGCCAATTTTCATTAGTCATGAAATTAATATATCGTTTTAACATCTTCCTAAATTTCCTTAACTCTTTTTATTTTTCCTATACTCATTACATCATTTAGATCAAGTCATTTGGGATTTTTGTGGTGTTAAGTTCAATTGAAAATCAACCTTTTTTTAATTTTTTTTTTTATTCGAAAACAATTGCAGTGCGCCTCAAGAAACCGACCTTACAGCTTTACCAAAATTTCACACCAAGCGAGAATGGCTGTGTTTTGGTGCTCAACTGTTCTTCTCCTGATCCTGGTGTCGCCTTCACCTGGAAGGTCAACCCTACGTGTCATCACTGCAGCAACAACTCTTTGAATGGCACGTCAGAGCTTCTCGCCTTTTTCTTGACAACCCCAGACTCTGTAAATCTCACCTGCATTGTCATGCGCGAATCGCAGAGCAGATCAAGCTTTTTGATGTCAAAGATTAAAGGTGAGTTTGTTAGTTATCATCTACCGTTTCTTTGGTACAGGAAGAAGCTGTTGCACCTGGACAAATAATGTTAACATTAAGCCAACATTTATGGTTTAAATGCCAGGTTTAAGATGCACCATTGGAAGTGTTTTTCAGGCTAGCAATATAATCACAAGACTGTATTTAAATCTACCAAAGTAGATGACATGAAGTCGCATCACTTTTTGGTTTGGTGTCACTATTACATAGTCTCCTCTACCCAACGCATTCAACATTGTTTAGCTGGTCAGTTACTGGTTGTGAACAATCACAATTGCACTTAATTTCTAAATTAAATGTATTTGTCTCTGCAAAACTTTGATCAGAAAATATTCTTTGTCAATTGCTTAGAAGTCGGTTTTCCTTTCATTTAAATGAGAAATTCTCTACAAAAAGCCTAAAGAGATTTTTTTTTTACAAAAAGCCAGAAGAGGTTTGAAATCAGTATGAATCCAGTTGAAATCAGAGGCGTAGATTTACAGAATAAAAAAGGTTGGCAGTCTTTCACACTTGCGCTTTAAGAAACCAGCTGGGAGTAAACCTTTTCTGGAACACCTACAGAGGTGTGAAGTGTACAGAACAATGGTGGATAGCATGGTGCTGTGTTGTACTGAACCTGTTGAGTTGAACATAACTTCCGATCAGGAATACAGTATTCCTAATCGGATCCAGTTATGATCTTTCTCTGTCTCCCTTTGTTCATGGGCGACAGAGATACGTTATTGTTTACGATGAGGCACAAGCTAAGGGCGAAAACCGCATGCGAAGACATCAATAAATCACACTGCCATCTAGTGGTCTGGGAAGAATTACAGCTGAGTCAAGGCGCTGCTCTGTTTTCATGATCTGCTGCTTTACTTTCGGCTGAACATCTATCCAGTCTGCAAACTGCTGTATGAGGTTCTAACATAACTTTTCTATACTGGAGGTCATTCTTATTAGTTCAACATTTATTTATTTTTTTTAATAAATGGGTTTTCTGTCTTTTCATTAAATAAATTTGATAATCATCAAAATGAACAGAAGGAAACTTGAAACACATGTATGATCTGATGTTCTGGGGGTAATAAATCTATGAAGTTTTACTCCTTCAAATTTAATTACTGAAAACAAATGTTATTCAATGGATTCTGGCTCAAAGTTTCTGTCTGGACTGGAGAAGCTGCAGTCTCTTTACAATCCGAATGTTTAAATATGTTTTTATATATGAATTTGATCAATCGTAGCAATTCAAGATCTCTGTAAATGTAAAATGTGTGATAAATAACATGTTACCTTAGTTGCAGTTTAATCGAACGTGGCAAGTTTTTTTTTTTAATGAAGCTGTTGATAGAAAAAACTACACTGTTTAACAAGGACTTCTACATATGTTTTACACTGTGTTATGATCTTTTTTTGTTCTTCCAGTTCCAAGATTCGAACCCCCACCCGATTGTGGTTTCGCTTGGGGATTGTTCGCTACTTTGCTGATTGTGATTGTGGTGACTTCACTTTTGCATTTCAGAGGTAGACAAAAACATTCATATTATTCACTTTCTTTGCATGCTTCCTTTGTGACGCTCGTTAAATATGCGGACAAAACTGTTCCAATGGAAGAGGGTGGAAAAAACCTATTGATAATGAAATAATAAATGAGTAATATTTTTAAAAGTAAATATTAAAAGTGATTTTAAGTACATTTCATGCCTGTCTGTGTCTCGGACTGAACTGTGAATTGTAATATCTAGTAACTTTTATTTATGTTCAACCAAACTATAACTTCTGCTTCAGGTTTGGCCAGCCATACATTGACATTGTGTTTACATTTCAGAGAATATAATCAACATGTTCCAGAGGGGAAGAACAAATAGTTTCAATCCATCATCACCCAGAGTCCATGCGGAGAGCGGGATTTCCCAACAATAAAAGTCCTAAATTTGACATGGTTGTTTTAAAAGGAGTATTGTGCTGTTCAACTGTTAAGAAAATAACACCCCCGAGTTTATTTTAATATTTCTTTTTAAAGAAACAGTGGTTGAGATGAACAATATGATAAGCCTTTTACCAGTATCATTGAAGATAGATAGATAGATAGATAGATAGATAGATAGATAGATAGATAGATAGATAGATAGATAGATAGATAGATAGATAGATAGATAGATAGATAGATAGATAGATAGATAGATAGATAGATAGATAGATAGATAGATAGATAGAGACAGACAGACAGACAGACAGACAGACAGACAGACAGACAGAACAAGACAGACAGACAGACAGACAGACAGACAGACAGACAGACACACAGACAGACAGACAGACAGACAGACAGACAGACAGACAGACACAGACAGACAGACAGACAGATAGATAGATAGATAGAATTTTAAAGTTTTCATTTCACATGTCTGGTCTACATCGTGCTTAATTTTTCATGTTTTTTTTTTGCCTTTCTTTTTTATGTTGAGCCTTTTTGAATTGAGATGATGCCGCCACTCAGTAAAATAAAACATTTACCGCACCCAAATGATACAGTATGGACAAATCCCATAGTACTTGAGCCTGGCCTGGCCCAAGGTTGTATGAGCACATAAGCAGTATTTGATGTGGGGCTCCTCTTCCTGGTAATGTCCTGCAGCACTGGCTGTGTTTTAGTGCAGATTTGCTGGAATCTGGCAGAGAGAGCAGAGTTTAATTGGTTGACATATATATATATATATATATATATATATATATATAGAGCTATGACATATATATATATATATATATATATATATATATATATATATATATATATATATATATATATATATATATATATATATATATATATATATATATATATATGCGCACACACACACACACACACAGAGAGCGAGAGAGAGGTTTCTCAAAGGTTTTGCATTGTCATCCAATGGAAACAAGTGATGACCTATGTCCTGTTTATGGCAGAGTCCAAGAATCCCCTGTGAAATTTTTGACTATCACAAAGATTGACTGAGAAATCTTTGTATGTCATCCAATCATCTGCAGATCCAAAGGGGGTGGAGGAATCTAGAAGTTGAAGGAGTTTTTTAGAATTGTTTTTACATTCGTTAATGCTGTTAATGTGAGATGCACCTGTAAAGGCCCTTATAAATTCATAACAAGCAGTCATATTTATTACTGGTTTTTAATATATTTTTTTAATTTTACTATGCCAACATCTGCTTTTTGTAACTTAATGAGAAAATCATCATGGTGCTTATATGTGTGACTGATTTTCAAAGACTGTATGATTCATGACTGTGTCCATGGCTGTTTTGTTTTTTCTAGGTGAATGTCCAACAGTGTTTTGTATTTGTTAAATAAATGTGTTTTTTAATAACTCTGCTTCTTTTTGATGCGACGTAAATACATATTTAAAAGAAAGCAGTCTTGCTAAACATTTAATTTTATTTATTCCAACCAGCCAAGTTGGAAGAAAAAACGACTTCAACTTTTATTCTGAAAACTTGATAGGTTTATGCTTTGATTGACCAAAATGCCAATGATTAGCATCCACTACATATATTATTTATGTCTACCAAACTTGGACAATTGAAACCAGAAATTAAGACACACCACATAAAACCACAAGCTTTCTTTCTTTTTTTTTTTTTTAAATCACTGTCTATAATTAAATTAAACCAAACTTTGTCTCTTTTTTTTTGCCAAATTTCACAATATGTCAGAAAATATGTCAGACTTATTCATGTCTTCAATGTCAAAAATGTAAATACAGAATGATTACTGTCTCTTTAAGGGAACGCCCAGATGGTGAGATCACGGTAACGTTAGAAACCTCTGATTGGTTAGCTGACATGTTCTGGTTTGACACAATGGAAAAGTCAAAGAAATCAGAAAAAAATGTCAATTTTTATTATGGTACAAATGGTTTTTAAAAAAATAAATAAAAAAAAAACATAAAAAGCATATGTACAGCTGGGTGAACGGCAACACAAGTGAACCTCAACAGGACAAACATTTGCATAATATACAATTTTATATAATCTATATATTTACAAGATGTACAAACATATAAGTTACAGGGCCCGGTTGCACATTTAAAAACGGAAAGTTATAAACTTCCCAGCTTTAAAATTAGGAAAAAAAAGAACAGGCAAATTTTAAATGAACGATAAACGTGTGCATTTTGCAAACCGCCCCTAAATTAGGTTTTATCAAATCAAATATTTCTTATTAATTTGCATATCATCCACAGAAATATGTATTATTTGAGAATTTGACTAAGCCTTGCAGCAAAATTAAACACCACTGGGTGTTTTCTGACTTTTTTTTTTTTCCTGAGGTGCACCGAAACGCAAAGGTTCAAACCGTCTAGGAAACCTCCTGGTACGGAGACACCGAAGCCGTCCTCATCCGTTCAATCTGGATCTTGTCGTAGATCGTCTGAGGCTAAGCGATTGGGAGAAAACAAAAAACAAAATTGGTTTTAGGGTTTCTCAGCGGTGGCTTAAGAGAATCTTTTCCTGCAGGTTCCAATGGTTAAACAATTCACGGAGAGTGCTATGAAGGATAATTTGTTCTTCCAGTTCTCAACACACTGAAGAGCACAAACGGAGAACAATTCAGAACTAAGACATCTACAGCAGGATAGTGAATATGTGGTGTTCTGCTGTTTAATTAAAGCATATATAGAGCTGGAAAATATGGCTGACATACACATCACAATATAAGCAATTTATATCAGTCAATATTGGTAATTATTGATTTGTTTTTTTTTTTGTTTGTTTTATATGTCTGAAATGCATCCAAACTGGTGACATGACCTTCACTGCTTTATCCACAATTTCCTCTTGAACTGTTGACTCCATCTTTGCAAATTTATTATTATTATTAAGTAATAAAAAAATAGAGAGAGATGTTAAAGGCTCACATGTGCCTCTGTCTCCCCAGTATGTGTTTTTTAAATATTATTTTAGTGATTGGCGTCATTTGACGGTTCTCCGGTTGGGGGCGCCATACAGCTAGCCGAAGCTTTTACGCACCGGAAGCGTGCGTCCGTTTTGTCAAAGAGAAGAAAAACAAAACAGAAGAAAGAGCGCGAAGGCTTCCAGAAATATGAAAGGGAGACTTCAACTTGGGACGGATGAACCCTGAGTTTTGTCGGGCTGAAGTTTTTGTTGTTTTTGAATTTTTGGAAAGAGCCGACTGGAAGCTAACGGACGGTTGGACTGGGAAGTTCACGCGCCTCCTATTACTAGCCACCGATAAAGTCACATTTGGTGTGTTTTCAGGAAAAAACAGGGGGGAAACTATATATCTAAAGAAAAATAATAACACGAAGGGGAAAAAGCTGTTGAACTGAGAGAGTGACGGAGGAAAGACTCCACGGAACCTCAGCTCGTTGGTGAACTCTGAACCGACGTCAAGCCGGCCGGCAGTGTGTTCTGTTAGGTGCCTGTTTTGTGAATTATTATTTATTTTTTTCCCCATACGGGAAATACGGGCGTAGAGCCTATTTTTGCGGTTGTAACTAGTTAAAGAATTTACATTTGTGAATTATAAAAAAAAAAAGTTGCTAAAAAAATTGTTTACCGGAAGTGAATATGATTTCCTGTCGCTAGATGGAATTTATTTTTACTAAACAACAATCTTTGTTTTTTTTATTTAAATTAGTTGTTTTGCGAGTAAAATAATTACAAAAACCACATATTAAACAAGATGAAATGGGAAGAAATAGTCTGATATTTTGTCGATATCCTCCAGAGGGAGCTGTTGCACCGCCTCACGCCCTTTTGGGCCACCACTGGAGGTCCATCTCTTACCATTTGGTGATCCGGACTGTTCCTGCTTTCGATGGTGTCATACAGAGAGCAGGGTTTATCAGAGGGCGCCTGGAGGCGTTAGGGAGGAAAACACTCAGTTAGGAAACTAAATCAATGTAAACATTTGCTTGTTGTACGGCTCGAGTTGTACTAACGACTTCAGATGAAAAATCCGAGATGTCGGCATAAACTGTGAGTTCGTTTGAATCACTGCCTGCGTAAAGAAAATAAAATGACAGAAATGACTCAGAGGCTGGTAAAAAGTCACAATAATGCGATAAGGGAGAGGGGTGGGGGAAATGGCACATTATAGAGTTTCTTACCGGACCATGTCCTTTTGCAGAGACATACGCTCGCCACTATGACTATAATAATAATGACCAGTAGACCTCCTCCTGCTCCAATGATAATCAAGACTAGGGGTGGTATTCCTGTACGTGACAACAGATTAACAATATGTTAATATTCAAAAGAAGCAAAGGAAAATTTGTACAGCAATGTTTGCCTGGTATACACAGTGCCTTGTATTCACTCTTGTCACATTATAACCGCAAACGTCAGTGTAGTTTAATAGAAAAACATTAAAATCAGGAATACCAGCATCAGAGCAACAGGAAAAAAGATGCAACTAACGGATCTGAAACTCAGGAAGAAGAATATATTAGAAGACAAAACATACTTTGTATTCTCAACAAAACAATTTAAAATAATATATCCTTTTATTCGCCTTTCCATTTTTATGAAGTGTGATGTGTTTGGTCAATTGTATCAAATTATGATTAATATACAGTGAAATTTGTGGTCATAACGTGACAAACTGAAAAAAAAAATCAAAAGGTTTCGATATGTTTTGATTAAGCAATGCATTTTTAGTATGAAGGTGCTAAAAAAATTGTTTTAACCAGATATGACTTCGGTCAAACAAATAATAAAGAAAAACACTTTAACATAATAAAAGAAACAGAAATGTAAAACTTTAGTCAAGAAGGTAGTTAAAAAAATAGGCATGTTATCATCAAAAGATAATTTTGTTTAAGCAAATTATATTGGATCGGTAAATTGGAGTGGAAGTATACCGACTCTTTATAGAACCGGTACAACAATTAAATTATTTACGCGTGGTGACGTTCATCATCTATACATGATAAACCATAAAATATATTTCTAACTCTTCTATGATTTTTGTCTGTATTATCACCAAATAGTCATCATTACTTGAAAGTCATCATTACTTTATGATTCAAAAAATTTTCTTGAGCATTGAAAGAAAATGAATTTCTAGTATCTGCATCTGAGATGTGTTTTGTGGACTTGGACCTTTAATAGAAGAATACAGCCAACAGATTTACAAAGTAAACAGACTTGTTCTCGTTACTTCAAGCCTCTTCTTTCTGAACATACCGTCAATAGAGCTGCATTTCAGTATTTTGGATGCTGACACCTCACTGATAACATTGGAGGCATTGCAGGTGAATGTGGTGTTGCCATCTTGTGGTGTAATCTTGTATTGCAGTCTGGGCCCGTTTCTGGTCTGGGTTCCCACAGTCCAGTTGTAGTTGACGTTGCTGTGATTATTTACTTTGCACTCCAGAAAAACTGAACAAGATCCATCTGATCCAGGCTCAGTGATGTTGGAAAACACAATGGGAGTTGTGGATATGGGCTCTAATATGAGAACAGAGGGAAGAAGTGTAACGAAACAGTAACATTATACTTATGTGTACTTTATTTGCACAATTCACATAGTATTTCCCCCTTTAATCTTAGAAAATTCAGAAAGTGTCATCAAATGATCAATTCCTCATAATTGATGCAACCATAAAATTTGCTTTCTACCAGTAAATCTGGGAGTCTCTCCTGCGATCAATCAGTGTTTGGCCTTAAAGCTCGAGCTCTTTTAGGCTCTGCAGCAGGACAGTAGTGACCCCCATAACATGATGTAAAAATTTGCAGGAGCTCCTTTTTTTATTTTTTTGCATTGATTGTTTTCTAACAAGTATTGTGTTCTTCATTTTGAAAACAGTGTGTTAATCAGTCTGTTCTTTAAGAGTTTTACAAGTTTTCTTTCTTGAAAATGTTTTTGATTGATTGAATTGAAAGACCAGCATCTTACCGTGAACTTGCAGAGTGATGAAGACTGGACGTTGTTGGCCTTTGACCTCTGCGTTGAAAATAAATTGACCAGAATCTTGAAGAGTCAGGCCTCTTATTGTGAAACTAAAGGTTGTGTTATTGAATGTTGATCTGCCTTTAAACGGATTGTTTCCAGTAAGACCTGAACCTTGGATTGCTACTTTCATGCCTCATAGCTCCAATCTGCCCTGGCGATGCCTTCAGCTGGTAAATTTGATGAAAGCTCCACAGAGTCTCCAACTTTTTTATAAATGACTAGTTTTTCCTTCTGAAGCCTCCACATCTGAAACACAAAAATAAGAGCATATTATTATTTAAGCTGAGACATTTAGATGTCCTGATACAGTTTAAGTTTTACACTTTTTAAAAATGTCCATAAACAGTTTCCCGGCCTTTAGAAGACGTATTATTTGCTTAATCAACTATTGGTGCTCAAACTCTTAACAACTGAATTTGTTGAGGAACCACAGATTAAGTGATTTTGGTCAAATCACCTAAAACCAACTGGATTCATGGGACACATGAACGCAACAGTTTGATGGAACAAACACACCAGCAGGTGGCAATAATTCTCTGAAGTTATTGTCTGATTTCTGTGGCACCCCTACAGAGTCAGAGCTTAGAACACTGTTTTATATGAAGTGTTTTTTTTTTACTTTTATATATATATTTTTTAAGGAATTTCAATGCTGGCTTTATGTCAACAGACCACAACATGAAGTTCAGATTTTATTCAAGATTTCAGAAAGTAAAGCTTTGAAAATTGAGCAAAAACTAAACCACATTAATAACTGACAGTTAATCATCTCAAAGCCTTTAAAAACATTATAATTAAAATTTGAAATGATTTGTTCAAGGCTTTTTGTAATTTATTATGGTTTTGTCTCGAATGTCCTTAGATAGAAAGGAGATTTATTGAGTTTGGCTGTAGTTGAGGAAATCAGTTTACAGTATGACTGAGTGCAAACACTTTACTAACCTTTACATCCAGTTTTAAGATGTTTAAGTCATGACATGTAGAATCAGCTCGTGCATTTCCCATCAAAATATAAAGACGACTCAACACATAAATGAGGCAATCAAAATTTACTATTAAAGTAATCATAAAAGTCGCACAACTTAGTTTTTCCGTGAGACACTCCAATTATCAGTGACGCAACAAGATTATTTTTTAAGCTTACTATATATATAACAAAATGCAGATGCTAATTGCATCTTCTTTTTTTTACCGCATTTTTTCACTGGTAAAAACATTGTTCTAAAAATGCTGCGTGTATTAAATATTCAATTTGACTTTGTAAATTAACGTTTTAAAATCGGGCTTCTGTCGTTTTAAAAACTCCTGCTCTTTCTGAAACTCCTCCTTCAGGAAGTCGCCACATCGCCCTTCTGCTAACTCTTTAACGGTCAGAAGTAGCTCGTATGAAGAGCTCAGCAGATGAGTGGCTCCACTGGGTTTTTGCTAATCGCTGCTGGCTAGTCTGTAGGAGCTGAGTGGTGTGTTGGAGGAGGGCGGCTCCGTGAGACGGAAGCTTGGAAAATGCAGCTTCAAGGACGGGCCTTGTTCTCGAAGGCGGAGCTAGGTCCACCCTGACGTTTGCCACAGGAGATTAAGAGATGTTTCTCAAACATGCATGAAAGAATGACAATAAGACTCTGCAGGACTGTTTTTAATGAGGGGAGTAATATTCTAACACGACATAAAGCTCAAAAAGGTTTACTGTACATTAGGCTGCCTCTTTAATAACTAGATGAGCCACTCGTAACAAGAAAGTCTACTTTATTTTCTGTACAGCACATCATTTGTCTAATCAGTATGCACAAAGTACTTCTCCATTTGATAGGATCAAATTTATATCTGTCTGCTCTGTGAATTTTTGGGAACCAGGACTCAGGTCTGTGAACTGCAGGTATGATACTGCATCAACATGAACGTTTATTAAATAAAAATGATAAACTAAAGCGTTACCAGAAAAACCTTTTAGCTGTGGTTTATGTCTGTTTTAAGAACCAGCTTTTTGGCATTAGGTTAGTCTTTTATTTGTTTGCAAAAACCTCTGCAGCTACAAAAAGGAAGTGTAATCAAACACTTAAACACTCCCGAGTTGTTTTCATCACGTAACAGAAGCAGCTACTTGATGTATTGGTGAGTTCCTGTTGTAGGACAGACAGGAAAATGTCTTAGTGAAGTGGTCAAGCTTTTTATAACGTGCATCATCAGATACAGAATAATTCAAGCTGCCGACACTGACAAGCATTTTAAAACCTCAGACAAACAGGACTTCACTTAACATGTGTCATGTCTCAAAAAATTAAGAAAAAAACAATCAAACAGAAAAGACAATATTACTATCCATCGGAACGGCTTCGTCAGAATCTTAGATTGACATCTCCAAGTAAGAAGGAAATATTGAAAGATGAAACTATTTGAATTACTTTGCTGAAGTTGGAAAGTTGGAGGTTTTTATTTCATCCCCAACATGCAAAATCCAATATATCTACCTTTCATGTAAATTTCTAAGTCCAAAGTAAACAGTGTATTTGCATTTCATCTGAACCTTTTTAGTGAACATACAAGTTAAGTGCTTGAAAACATGCAAAAACAAGTTAACAGACGTTATTCACTTGTATTGCTAACCAATAGTTGACCTGGTGATTTAACATATTAATTAGCTAATCCTTCTTGTTTTTATACTTTTCTATACTTTTAAATGGGCTTGAACTCTCGAAGTCCGACCTCAGACATTGTTAGCAACATCCACAGTTTGTTTCTGGTTCATCGTTGCCTGCTTTATTTTATACACGGAGATCCTCAACAGATCTTAAAGTTCTTGAACAAGCCGTGGACCGGGCTTCTGATGCTTAGTGGCTCCACAGCACTGCTGATTCAATAGCCTGGCAAACATCCGTGCTAATGTTGTTTCCAAGTACCACCTGTGAGACCCGAACCTCAGTCTGAGCACCATGCTTTGGACGAACCTCTCTTTGTAGCCAGTGGAAAAACCTTTAGCACTATTGCAGCCATAAAGAGTGTCTCATAGCTGCAAGCCAGTTTCTTTCATCTTTGGCAATGAGCTCCATCTCTTCGCCATCCCCTTGATCTTTAGCTACATTCAAAGATGATCAAAATTAAATCAGAACTCAGCTGGGGTGGCGTAGTGTCGAAAACCCTCAGATCAGCAGTCACACCCATAATTGTTGTGACCATTTTCTTTATCGGTCTGTAATATTAAGAGTGGTACAGAGAGTGAGATTTCAAATGGATTTTCACAAATCCTAGTAAATAAATATAAATATATTAAATATATTGCATTAAATAGTCCCAAAAAGTCAAATTAAGTCTATCCAAGAACATTTATCAAATTGTCAAGTGAATTAAATTTAGTCTGATGCTTCATTCAGTTACTTGTAATTTTTGTTTTTTCTTTCACCCAGAGCTCCATTCTCACTTTTTTGTCAACGAGGGAAAGTTTTCAGTGAAGACTAGAGAAAGAAACCCGGATGCGTCAAAGTTTGATCATTACGGCCAACTTTGCATCATTTCCCTGGAAAACGGAGGCAAACCACAATCTGTGCCCTCAGTGGAAAGGTTCAAGTGAAAGCCCATATCCGTGTCGTTACTTTCAGGCAGCGTCGCTGCTTTAGGTGGAGAACTCGCAGGAAATGTCACGGTTGCTCTTGCTCTCGTTTCTGTCTCACACTTTTATTTAGACGCGCACGATAAAGAAAACGGTCGACGACTGCGGCGCAACAGACAGTCAGCAGCCATAGCTCTGAAGTGCGACCTGTCAGAGCGACTGGTGTTTCGCTGTGACCTACAATTTGTGGAACAAAGCAGGAAGTGACAAAAAGAGAAAGGGTGATCTGTCTCCAAGTAGCAAAAGTTTCCATGCATGTTTAGCAGGAAATCTGTCAACACAGCAACACAGAAACATGCAAAACCAGACTCTTAATATTCAACCGCAAGATGGCCAAAGGTTATAGCTGCCGTCTCAGACAAGGAGGATAAATTCAGATCACCACAGATCTTGGTGAGAACATTAATTTTCAAGGGGATGGTCCAATTCCCAAATTATTACGCAACTTCAGCTTCGGCTTCAAAAGTGGACAGGAGTTAATATTCTAGCAAAACTTTCTTAATGACAACATCTTCTATTTGGAAAATCACAAACAAAACACTACGAGGAAAGAATAAAATTAAAAAACACTGAAGAAACGACACAGCCTTTTACAAGGAGGTGTGCAAATATCCCGCTCCAAGGAACCGAATCTAATTCTCTGTCAAAAGTCACAACAGTAGAAAAGCGGGAGGTCGGTCACCGTCAGTGTCAGTAAACACAAAGGGCAGACCAGGTCACATACCGTGGCGGGAGACCCCGAGAAGCAGCGCGGCCGTGTACACCAGGAGGCAGCTCAGGCAGCGACCACCAACCATCTCTGTGGGGAGCGGAGCAGAGTCTGTTTCCTCTTCTGCTCACTGCACAATGAGCAGTCAGCCAAAGTTAAGAAAAAAAAAACAGAAGGAGGGAGGGGTGGAGGAAGCTTCTGTAAACGTAGAGCAATGAAGCAGGTTGAGCTTGCAGAGAAATAGGGTACCTGCTACTTTAAAGTTATAAAGATTGGCTCTTCTCAATGCGGTTTTTGTTTTTACTATTTTGTTCACTGTAAAGCTCCGTGCAAAGTTTGAATTTGATTACCTCCAAGTGAAAATTTCATCTATTGAGAAACACAAGCGGAGCTGATCATCCACTACAATAAATGCTACTGAGCTGTTGACATCACTCTAGAGAAAACATCTCAGTCAGATCCTATTATCTCCCATAAAGTAAATTATTATTATTTGAAGGCAGACTTGCTGTTCTACCTGCATGCTGATTCATGCAGCCAAAGGTCACAAACTGATGGGCGGATGTTCTCCTTCCTGTTTTATTTTTATAAGCAAAATTTTAGTAGTTCTCATATGATATGATGAGCACTGCACTATAACTACATGTGTTGTAGTAAAGTGCAGCAAAGAAGGCAGCCACAGACATTAGACTTCCTGTACGATGCTTTTTTTTTTTTTTTTTTTTACTAAAAAGCTGTTGTTTTTTTGTTGTTGTTTTTTTTACAGCATATATAATATTCCACACAGCTTCCAAAAAGTCCCACTTTTGTCCCATCAGTTGACAAAATGGTTTATGGGCTAATGTGTCGGGGTTTCAGGTCCTGTTTGGGTGGGCGGTGGGTTCCAGCCTTCGTGACTCTCAGACGGAGGCCGTTTCTATGCTGAAACATGATCAGAGAGACAGCTGGGGTCGGCGGCGCTTCAGACGTTTTCTCTGAATTATTTTGCACCCTCTTGCATGAGTCTCCATTGCACTCTTGGAGTGATTGTCAGCCTCTCCCGAGAAGATTCCTTCCAGGTATTTCCTGTTTGTGGCTAATGGTTCCTCATTGGGGTTTTGGTAGAGTGCCGAAGCTACAGAAAGGGGCGTCCATTGTTAAGATCAGGAAGTGGTGTGTCGTTGTCAGACTCCAACCTGTTTCATCACCATGAAGAGCCTAAACACTAATTTCAGGGCTTTGAAATCAACCCTGTATTGAATTGTGAAGCAAAGCCAGCCTCGATGTCATGTACTGACGTAACGACAGCATTTCTTTTGACTCTCTTCATTCGAAAGTGCAAAGACATGAAATTAGGTAAAGAGAGAGAGGGAATACATGTGGCAAAGTTCACTAGACCGGGAATTGAACCTGCGACAGCGGAATCGAGGACTAAGACCTCCTTATGTGGGCGGTGAGTAACCTCTGTGCAATCACAGCCTGTTTGGCCTGCAAGCAATGAAGCGAAGACTGATCTAGATCCGTTATCCATCTTGATAAAGGCAGGAATTAGTCTGTTTAAAGTCCTTAGACAAGAAGGCAAACAAGTGTAGCTTGATTGAGCCACTCAACTTATCGAAGTCAAGGGAGGACTCAAAAATCACTGTAAGACTTTCAACACAACACTGAATTGTGCTGAAGGGCCCAGAGAGCAAACAGGACATGTTGAACAGGGTGATTACTGTTCTCTTCGTTTAAATGGAGAAAACTTGAGTACATGTCATCCAAACAGTTCAATATAGGCCTCGATGAATCACTCGTTTCAACTTTTAGAGGAAAATAAAGCTGAAGCACAGTGGAACCGGATGTTAGACTTTTAACACAAAAATATACCTCGAGGACAAAAGAGGGGCCAGAATGTTGGAACCCCACGTCAATGGAATACTGGTTTATTTTAACCGAGAAAGCTCTGTTTTCAAACAGCTGCAAAGCGAGTTCCTTTACTATCTAGATAATGTCGGAGACTAGATAAGATGTCGTTGTCCACTGATCGAAAGCAGCACTCAAGCGTATGAGTACGAAAGCAGCAGATTTCCCCGAATCAGCAGACAAATGAAGGTCAGTGAAAAACCCAGAAGGATGCGGTTTCTGTTCTGAGGCGGACTGCGCTTTGCAGGACCTTAGACAGAATCGATGGTTTGGTCAGGTGTGACTTTTTGTTTCTGAGTGGTTGGGAAGCAGCAGAGTGAGTGTGCTCCGTTTTCATAGCGACAACAAATATGAGAGAGTATTATTTCTCAAATGGGGCGAGAACTGAACTTCCACACTTTGTAAAAGAAAAAAAAAAAGAAGCTGTTCTGCAGCTAAGAGCTAAGCTAGCTCGTCGGTGCAAACAGCCTAGTGAGCGCTACATGTTTTACTAAGATACAAAGACCTAATCTAACTGTTTATATCAACAATCGCAGAGGAACTAGACCACATCCTGCCATCAGTTATTGATAGGGGATACTGATGTGATAATTGCTCATCATGGTACATGAACTTTGTGCATGCCATAATTAGGTAGGTTGGTCACAAGTGCAGAGCAGAGGAGGGCCTTTATTTGTCCAACCAAGTAGGTTTCAAGACCAAAAAGGGCAAACGATAATGTTTCCTGCCCTTCATGCACAGGTACTTAGCAGAAAGCATTAACTCTGGCTCAGGTCGGCATTTCTAATCTCACGCAGTGCACTCTGTTTATCTGAACCTGAAAGATGAATAAGTAACACTGAATATGAATGGGGACGGTGTGTTGTGAAACAAGCTCCCGGTTTGGGCTTGAGAGGAAGCGATGCTTTTGACCTCTAAAATAAGCCGAAAGCTTTCTGGTTTGAAAAGACGTACAGTTAGCTTAAGTGTTTTGCAGTGAATGAAGTGGTGAGCAGTCCGAACACATCAAACACTGAGCTGAACTTTTTTTTTTCTCATCAGGAAGTTCTCCGAGTATGAACCGCTGGTTAAAAAAGTTATGACCCGAATCCGGCCTCCTGGGTTGATTTTGCAAACAGGGTCTGGTTACGTCTTTGACCCAAAACAATGAGTTTGGTTTTTAACCCCAGAAAAAATGGGTTAAAGAAAGTGACCAATATAATCAGAGAGTCAAATGAAAACGGTTACTAATCACTTAATTACCAAAACACTAATATCTGTAATTAAATCATAATTTCTGATATATATATGAACAGTTGCCTTCTACTGCCTAATAAGACTTTTATTGACAAACTCTTGAATTTGGATAACAAAATCCAAATCCACTGTGTTGAAAGATTGCCAATGTATAACGGCTTTAAGAGAAAGCTAAAGGCTAATGCTAACTCGAGAGAGCAAAGTTGTTCTCAAATCTTCAACGCACACTGATTACCATTTTAATGAAACATGGTTGTCCTGAGAGCAGCTTTCATTAAAAAGCAAAGCTGGTTATTAGTTATAGGTTTGGTTGTTTACCTTTCCATCATCTAAAATCTATAATCTTGGATTGGCAATATCCTCCCCCCAAAAAATAATCTATATTTATCAATGCCAAATGAATCTAACATGAAGTAAAAGAAAAAAGTAGTTAAGTCTTTCATATCAGATTTGCCCTTTCAATAATCTATTCACATCTATGCCACATTCAAATGATGGAAGTCATTTTATATTCCTAGATGTCGATGTTGATGCAATGCATCAGAAGCTCTACTGCAATAAGATATTTGTTTTGTTCAATAAGCTTCATCTAGATGAACTACAAGACTTCTGCAACAAGGCCTTCTGGTGAAACTGAAAAACAAAGCTGAGTCGTTTGCCATCCCACAATGCATTGTCCGCGTTTGACAAAAACGAAACATAGTGTACCAATAAATATCTCACACCAATTCTCAATGCTTGAGAATTGCCGTGGGCATTTTTTTGTCTTGTTTTTTTTCCATTGTGGGACCTGAAGAAGCAATATTTCTATTTTGGCCATAACTTGGTTTAAGAAATAACATTAAATAGAAAGGAGATGTACTTAAGCGACTTTCATTGGAACCAAAAGCAAATTTCTGCGTCTTTGATATCTGTGAAAATATTTATAGGCAACTGTGAAAATGCCCCGTTACTGAAGTGCCAGTAATACTTCTTATATCAGAGGTTTGCGGTCATGGTTTTGGTGGTATAACTACTGCATAAAGGAGAGAAAATCCCTCAGTATTATTGTTATTTACTGAGCAAAGTATTAGTTAAGTCTTTCTCACAGTCTTCCTCTTATTGGAATTGAACGTTATGAAATTTTGTCGACGCGTGAGCGAGACGAAATTTATCTCCTTGTGTTAAAAGCAAGGAGATAAACTTTCCATTACCTTGGTAAAGTTACACAGTTATAGAACAGCTGGACAATCCCGGCATCTGGGGAATGTACCGAATAACTTTTAGCACTGTTGGGTTTTCGGTCTTCTTTTCAAACTGGCCTTGCTCAGCCCAACACTTTGAGCTGCAAACTGTTGGGCGAGTCACCGTGTGACTCGTTCCCTCTATTGACAGACTGGATCTATAAGAGAAACTAACAGGGTGACCACTTGTATACTTGTTGACTGTTGAGGATGCAAACCCACACAGAGACAAAGCTCACATTAAGGCGATCTCAGTGTGTGCTGCTTCTCTCACATGACCAATACGTCCACAAAAGGCAACATGCAGAGCTTAGGTCATAAGCAACATACTGTAGGTAAGTGTCAGAACTCCCCGTACGCCTGCTGGTGGAGCTGCAGGGAAATGCAAAACAGTTCTGAAAATTGCAGCTCCCTGTCATCATCATCATCTAAACGGGCAGATTCAATTCCTGCATTGAAATGTGGTTTTCATTCATCTGTCGAACTGCAAAGTCACCCACACCGCCTCTGAATTATGCGCTCTCTCTCTCCACCACAGGGCTCTCTCTTCCAAAGGCGAATCAGCGGTGCCCGCCGTGTGCCCAGCGTCCGTGGACAGGACTGCAAGCGGCACGATCGCCATTGCAAACAGAAATGTCAGACCCCGCTTGTCGTCTCGAATCGATTTTAATGTTGCCACCTGAGGCTTCTCAGAGTTCATGTCTTATCTATGTTTGGATATCTCAGTTATGACTCAAAGCTAATTGAATCAGACATATAGAGGAAATTCAATGACAGGCTAAAGATAAGAATAACCGTATTCTTTTTTTTTTAGAATAAGAATATGACTTAAGCCACAGGGTTATTCTTATTCTACTCTAACAGGACGAGTTGATTCAGTCAAAGGATTATTCATCTTTTGACGAGTTGCAGTGGTTGCCTCCCCAAATGATCTCAGAAGTCATGAACTCTAAACAATGATGGCGGATTTTACCGTGTTGTTCATGGAAACAAAACCGCGTTATACTTCCATGGAAAAGCTGACTTGTTACCTGGTAAAAACCTTTACTACGTTCTCCCAAGAGCGAAACTAACCTCCAGTTTGTGACCACGGTGATCACAGTTCATGTGCAGAAGCTACGTTTGACACCAAGATGAGAGTAGTTGGCATGAACACGTTTATAATGGCCTCATCTTGGTTCTAACGCTAAAAGATGGAGGTGGGAGGGTGTTCGAAAATAAATGGATGAATGAATGAATGGATGGATGGATGGATGGATGGATGGATGGATGGATGGATGGATGGATGGATGGATGGATGGATGGATGGATGGATGAATGATGGATGGATGGATGGATGGATGGATGGATGGATGGATGGATGGATGGATGGATGGATGGATGGATGGATGGATGGATGGATGGATGGACCTCAAATGCTCATGAACATCAGGATATACAAGATGATGTAATTTTTTTCTTAAAACCCCTCAGTATTATTGTTATTTACTGAGATGTAGGAGACAATAACGTCCGTTCTTGGAAATCAAGGCAGCGATCTGGGATCTGGCTTCCAGCAGCTTCCTCTTCTCACCCAATGCTTTCTATACATCAGTTGTTCCAGACTTCTGTTTTGTTGGCATGCACCACACGTTTCTGCTTTCAGTTGCAGTTTGATCATATTAAGGAATCAAAAATAGCTAGTTTCTGCACTGATCGTGTCACATACTCCTTAGTTGCCTTTGTCAAAATAATGACTTACGAGTTGGTGAAGAAACCAACAGTTATAGATGTCGAACATCAAAGAAATCTTTTCAGCCTTCAATCTTTTTCATTCTGGCGCGACCAGCTTGCATTCCTACAGTTCTTAATACATTTTGAAACAAACGACACATTTAACCTGCCTCCCAAACTTACTGCTTTTCCAGTTAAACACACGTAAACCGTAGGGTGTGTTTTCAAAATGCAGCGGAACTGCAGGATTTCTCTGGAGGTTTTTGTGGAGTCCGCCGCTTGAAACACCCAAAACACATTTACTGGCATTTTGAAAGAAGAAGTGACACAATACCAGTAAAACAGTTCCAACCAGTGAGTCAGTAGAAAAAAAACATAACCAAGAGGGAAGAGAAAGGACATCCTCGGAAACAATTATGGACAAGGCTAACGCACATTAGCATTGCAGAAATATCTAATTTCTTAAGTGAAGCGACACTTGTGTGAACTAACTAGATGTAGAAACGTTAAACATGAATAGCAAAGAAAGGAGGACCGTCACTTAAAGGAACCGATTCTCATGAGCCAAGCCGAGTAAGCATGGTATCTTTTCAATTTAATCATTGTCTTAGCTCATGCAGCTGTTGTGCAATGATGTGGTTTGCACAACTCGCTCAGATCAGATAACTCTTCTAGTAAACCAATGCAACCCAGCAGCTGCTCTCCTCTCCGGACCAGAAATCTCACAGCTGGTAGAAATGCACTTGAAATGCCCAGTTGATGCGTGTGCATCGATGCAGGGGGAGCACAAGAATGTGTGAGTTTCGCTCTGAATGTCACTGCTGTTAGCTTTGCAGTCGGACTAAAATATCACATCACGTAAGCTCTTAACGTTTCACCCCCTGCAGACCACCAGGCAGTGTGACTGGAAGGAAACCCATACAGCTCCATCATGTGGTCAGAAGCGTAGCTCAGACTTCACCAGAACGCTGAGCGTTCTCAGCGTTCTGGTGAAGTCTGAATACCACCGGTTTCGTTCAAGTGCCTCCCACTTCCTCAAAACGTTGCATTAAAAAAAAAAGAAGAAAAAAAGGGTGAAGCTGCAGAGGAGGTGACTCCCACACATCTGTGTAGAGCTTAGCTGGACTGAAGACAGAATGAACTTCAACCTGGAAACTCTCAAAGTCTTATGAGAAACTTTGAAAGTTATTCTTTCTTAGTAACATATCACAGGATTTAAAAAAAGAAAATAACTAAAGGAGACATGTTGTGAAACAAAACCAGTATGAATGCTGAATGTATTCAAATCCTGCTAACAAAGTCAACAATCAGAAAATAATGAAAAGGTTGATCCAGTTTTCTTTTGATTTTTGTATCTCCAATTGCAGTTACTCGGGTGGAGTAGAGCTCATTTAATGATATTTGATGAGAATCGAGTGGCCAGAACTGGAATCAGAACCTCAATGAAATGTAAACGAGGTGACAAAGGGTAAGAGAGAATAATATACAACTAATATGAAGTAACATTTGCGTGAGATTTGAAAACCTTGCTTTTTGTAAACTAATTTTGACCGAAAATCCAAGATGAATGCATAAACACACAGTGGTTAGTTACATGAGTGCACCGCTCTGATCATTAGTCTAAAAACAACTAGGTACAAAAGTACGGCTGAATTTGGTGGAGAAGTGAAAGGACCGAGGAGCCATTTTGCCTCTTGACCATTGTAGCGAATTCAAACCATTTCCAGTGTCACCGACATGGAGGCGTTTATGTCAGACAGCTCAAACAGGTTTTGAACAAACGTTTCACAAATCTGTCAGACGTAAGAGAAAACATATTTACAAATGTTAAGGCTGTTTAACATGATAAAAATAGAGTGACACACAGAGAGAGAGAAAGATCAGAGGAAATGCAAAGAAGAAAAAAAAACCCAGAAGGCCCCTGGTCAGCATAGATGAGCGTTTTGCACTTCCTCTTGTAGAGAAGTGTCAATGTGATTGATAGCAATGTGCTAAAACCGCAGCGAGCGAGTCGAAGTGGTTGAACTGAGCTGCACTTCTGAGCATAAATAAAAGCCACGAGTTTTTAGCATTCAGTCGACTTGACTGAATGCTAAAAACGCTCTTCTGCTTGAATGATCAGAGGAAAAGCTGAGACGTTAATAATGAAGATTTTAATTGAAAATGGTTTCACGTTTTCAGGATCATCCTGGAAATCCTCTGATGGTTTTACAGATGGCTCCAGGAAAGGGAAGCAACAGCGACCCCTGCTGCCAATCTTGCGGTGCTACTGACTTAAAAAAAGTAATATTTGTAACAACAAATTGCAGTCATGTAATGAACTGAAAAGTAGAATTAATTTACACAATAAATGGTTGAGCTGTTATATAACGTCCAATTTAAAGTTTTCAATCTAATTCCTATTATAATATTATTGTTGGCCACTCAGTAGTTCTGTGTTCATACACTGTAAATACCATTTCATTTTCAGATGGTACTTTCGCTTTGTAAACAACCCAGCTTGTACTCACGCACTGTAACAGACAATAAGCATCCAAGTGACAAAAAAATAAATAAATGCAGCTCAAATCTCCACTATAGATTCACTTGGTTGCTTTTCCCACCAAGTGCACCAGGTGCCGGTCATCTTCACTCTTGGTAAATTTTTAGTTTTGGTTCATTTGAGAAAGAAAATGAAGAGTCTGCCATTGTTTTACTGTTTTGTAAGGACTGGTTGAAGCGAACAGCTTCAAAAACCGAAAAACCCAAAAGGACAGAAGGTGAGATGCAATGACTTCAGGATCCGGACGCGATCTGAGCATTTTTGAGATCGCACGCCTGAAATATTAAGTCAAGATTTTTTTAAATGATTTTTTTTTGTCTTTCTCCAATGATAGAATGTAATTATTCGTAGTAAATTTCCCTTAAGAACCTTTAAACCGCAGGTGAAGAAAATAGTCATTTATTTTCTATTAATGTGACAACAAGTATTTTTAATGCAGCAATGAGCAAATTTTATTCATCATAAAACCTGAGAAAGATATTAAATATGCAAATGAGCTAAACAGTCTGTTCTTCTCATTTCAAAACCACAAAACAAACTAATAGCAACAAGCAGGCAAAATACTAAGAATGACTCATAATTATGTGATATTTTCTCTTCAAGTTTGGTTTACTATTCAAATTTGTTCAAATGTTTTAAATCTAAGGAAATCCAGCAGGAATGTGGACAATCGTCGTTTCACCTTCCTCACTCTGAGCATGTAGAGACAGTGGAGAGGAAAAACCTCTGTTTAACAGGAAGAACCAGAACCCCAGTCTTTCGGGTTCTGGTTCTTCCTGTTGAAGGAAGAACCGTCTTCCACGACTGACTGTGGTCTGAGAAGAAACTTTTCTGATGGATTTCCTGGGCTCATCTCGTCCACTTGTTCCCCGTTGACTGTCCCGATTGCTGATGGGAACTTAGAGGTGGGACGTTTGCACTTGAAGGAACAAACAAACTGACAGACGATGCTTGGAGTGCATCAGCAGTTTGTAGCTTCTGCTGCATCTGCGGCGCCTCCTGAGTTTTCATACACCAAAGCATCGCCTGTCAGTAATTGAAGCGAACTGTTACATGAAAGTTTGACGGTACGTGGATTTTTATTTTCTTATGATTTGAGCGCAAAAATAGAAAACTGACCCGGAGGAGCTGAGGAGTTGAGCTCCAGCTCACTGGGGTCCTGGTCGACTCCTGTAGCGCGTTTCAACCTGGAATGAATAAACAAATAGATAAGTTTCATCTTGTGGAGGAATCATGTTGGAATTGAAAAAAACGTTCAATTTTAATATGAAAAAGAGAGAGTCCTACACACCCGGAACAAAGTACTTCTGTGGAAAAATCAAACCAAACGGGTTAAAGCTTTATCAAATCAACTGTTGGTGAAAGACAAAGTTTCACATGGCGCATCTTACCCTTCAACTTTGGTTCGTACAGCAGCCAGACCAGCACCAGGACAACGAGAAGTCCGACAGCCAACCTGACCCAAAACATGGCGGGAGAAAAACCACATCCTGCAACAATATGGAGGCAGGGAGAAGAACCATCAGGACAGCAACATGTGGCTCTGTACATAAAATACTAAAACCATATTTAGTTTTTTGCATTATTGAAGAAGTTTTAGATATCTTTTCAATGACTGTTTAATGGATGCCTACCAGCACTCTCTCATGACTGCTTTGCTACAACCTGGTTTTAAAACTGATCTGAGAAACTTCATTGTGTCATTTCTGTCTTTGAAACATTGATGACTCTGAAGGCTCAAAATCAGGATATCGGAACCACCACAGTGCGTTCATGAGGATGATTAACAGCACTAAGATCCTCCTCCTGGCTCTGATTGGTTGCTTCTGGTTAGGCTCAGTGCATTTACAGCTTAGGGAGCAGGGGAAAGAGATTGATAATTTCACTGATCATCAACACTGATGATCATTATGTTGAACAAACTGTCTCAACATACTGACAGTTCTAACAAATATAAAAAAAACACATCTAATTTTCATAAAAGTCACATACTGCAGCTTTAAAACCAGTTTGGATTCGTGCAAGTTCACCATGATCTAGTTGCTCTTCAGACAAAAACGACGATAAGTGGGAAATTTTCAGAAGATGGAAAAATAAACTGTACAGTTAATAGATTTTGAAATCCTTCTCTTTTTCACTTTTGACCCCAAAACCTTTTCTGTGCACATCTTCATTATTCGTTCAGATGGGTGCAAAGTGTCGCATTGTTGTTACAAGTCCAGTCAGAAAAAGCATAATGTGAAAGCATTTATCCAACTTAATACCTTCATGTGGAATCACGTGTTCACATTTAACCCAACATGTATTGCAGCCTTCATGTAATAAAAGATGTAAACTGTCCCTTGTTATGACCCAAAGAACTGGGACATCGTCCTGTTTTCTCAGAACTTAATAGCTTGATGACTTCCTGTTTTATTTTTCATTGTTGGTCAAACTGGTCTCTATTTTATTTACAAATGTGAACTTAATACACAAACAAGTCAAACAGAAGAATTCATATTTCTGAACATACCGTCAATAGAGCTGCATTTCAGTATTTTGGATGCTGACACCTCACTGATAACATTGGAGGCATTGCAGGTGAATGTGGTGTTGCCATCTTGTGGTGTAATCTTGTATTGCAGTCTGGGCCCGTTTCTGGTTTGGGTTTCCACAGTCCAGCTGTAGATGACGTTGCTGTGATTATTTACTTTGCACTCCAGAAAAACTGAACAAGATCCATCTGATCCAGGCTCAGTGATGTTGGAAAACACAATGGGAGTTGTGGATATGGGCTCTAATATGAGAACAGAGGGAAGAAGTGTAACGGAACAGTAACATTATACTTATGTGTACTTTATTTGCACAATTCACATAGTATTTCCCCCTTTAATCTTAGAAATTTCAGAAAGTTGTCATCAAATGATCAATTCTTCATAATTGATGCAACCATAAAATTTGCTTTCGCCCAGTAAATCCTGGGAGTCTCTCCTGCGATCGATCAGTGTTTGGCCTTAAAGCTCGAGCTCTTTTAGGCTCTGCAGCAGGACAGTAGTGACCCCCATAGACATGATGTAAAAATTTGCATGAGCTCCTTTTTTTTTTTGCATTGATTGTTTTCTAACAAATATTGTGTTCTTCATTTTGAAAACAGTGTGTTAATCAGTCTGTTCTTTAAGAGTTTTACACAAGTTTTCTTTCTTGAAAATGTTGTTTTTGATTGATTGAATTGAAAGACCAGCATCTTACCCTGAACTTGCAGAGTGATGACGACTGGACGTTGTTGGCCTTTGACCTCTGCGTTGAAAATAATTGACCAGAATCTTGAAGAGTCAGGCCTCTTATTGTGAAACTAAAGGTTGTGTTATTGAATGTTGATCTGCCTTTAAATGGATTGTTTCCAGTAAGACCTGAACCTTTGATTGCTACTTTCATGCCTCCATAGCTCCAATCTGCCCTGGCGATGCCTTCAGCTGGTAAATTTGATGAAAGCTCCACAGAGTCTCCAACTTTTTTATGAATGACTAGTTTTCCTTCTGAAGCCTCCACATCTGAAACACATTATAAACAACTTAATGAATCATTATGCAAATTAATTCTTTGTTTTCCTTTTAATAAATCTCTAGATGGACTAATAACAGAAAAAGCAAATGACAGAAATACGTTCAGCAACCGTTTGTCATAAATATTAGCGCAAATCACAGCTGAGGTTTCTGATCTCAGTTTATATCTTATGGTAGAAAAAGAGATGCACACAAACTTTTAACTTTCGAATTTCTTTACTTGACATTTGCTTCCAATACTTCATTCCCCCCCCCCCCCTTCCCCTCCGAGTCAGAAAAAATGTATTATTGTTTCATGTAAGCAGATGTCAAACACACCATGACGGCCTAGTCCAAGAACAGCAAGAAGAAGCCACACAGACTGAAGGCCTCTGGGAGAGAACAACATCTTTATTCTCTGCAGCTTGGTCAGATGTGACCTGGATGAGGCGAGACGTTTCTGGTCCAGCAGAAATACTTCCTAAAATAAAAAGAAAGAAGAAGAACGTCACAGCCTGCAACTAATGTAAACTCCTCGACGTGAGAAGAGTTTTAAACTTAAAAATATCCTAGCACTGTAGATCTTCACACGTACGTATAGTTCAAACAACCTTCTTTTCAAACAGTAACTCTCTGTGACAAGATCTGATGACAGAACCCATAAAAATCATCCAGAATCAACCGTCAGTCAGAACAGACTTTACAGACTGCGACTGTATTTTTGTTCTCAACTTGCAAAGTTTTGATACATTTGTCACTTCCTCTCATTCAGACTCTTATTAAAGTAAAACTTTCCTCGACACAACCCGCCTTTGTTCTGCTCTATATGTGTCCCTCCAGCCACAGACACACGGTGAGATCAGTGACTCTTGCGTGTAGACGATCAGCTTTAACTCCTGGTTATGGCCTCGTTTCTGGGATCTGGACATCATTCGTCTTGCCTCACACCTTGATCTCCATATTTAACTATCTGCAGAAATAGTTAGCCGGGGTCCCGATAACTCTAGAGTAACGCAGTTATGTTGTGTTCTCTCTTAATCTCACGTCTATCAAATAACATGGAGGAACTAAAGTCGATTACTTTAGCGTCAAACGGCGAGAATGCAAAATATACATCAACTCTAAATTCACAGAGTATGCCCCATTTATTGCAGATCAATACCTTTCTGTATGTTTTGTTGCAGCATAACAAATGTTGTTCTTTCATAACCACAGAGCAGAAGATGAGACTTTTATAAAAAGACTAAATATTAATGTAAACAAATAAAGACAAAGTTGCAAAGAGCGAAGACCACACGAACACTCTGCCAGACGAGGCACGTATTACCCATCTCTGCTAGAGAATAACATTCTTACCTCCTTATTCTTACGTTGGCTGAACTGAGGGTTTGATGTGTTAGAGAGGACACTGCGAACGAGTCAAATCAAGGAAGTGGTTAGAGGAAGCGTTGCTTTAAAATACAGATCTAATGACGATTAAATTCTCAAGCATCTCTGTTGCTTACATTGGTGCAAGCAGATCAAGCTTGCATTGGTGCAATCTATTTATGTGTTGCATGTAATTATTGTTAACACAGCCTAAATGTAGTCTTTAATGCTAGGTGAGGTTTGTTTGGCTTTGCTCCAAACACCAACATGCAGAGAAACTGAAGTACAATGAGGTGAGTTGACTTGAGTTGAGGTGACGGTGAGTTAAAGGTGTGTAGGACAAAATAGTTTACGGAGGAAAATGGAGCGTTCTTAATCAATTGGATTCGGTCCGGGGAGAATGTTCTGTGGTCTCCGGGGTCATGGACTCTTTGCAGGGGTCTTTGAAGTGGTCCAGGTTCAGACGGGAAGTTTGTAGAGTGCAGATGGTAGAGGCTGTGGTGGAACTGAAAGTGCAGTCAGTCTGCTTATGTGTCAGACTGACAGATTTGAATTAAAAAGAGTCACATCGAAATCTCTGGCTTTCCTGGTTTATCATGAGTTTCTTACTTCTTCCTGATCCTTTTCGAACATGTTAAAACTTCTGCGGTGCAAAACTATGTGTCTTTCGCATTCCTTGTTCTTGTGCCTTACTTTATACTGCTGTCATGTTCGAAATAAATACAGAAACAAAAATGGAGCGCAAACTGAGAATGCCTATTTTAAGATTTCACAAGACCAATCCGTCCTTAAAGTTGCATCAATAGTACGTTGATACAACTTCACCCTGGAAACATAAACGTGTCCCACCAGCACAAGTGGTTCCAATATAAAATCTAATGAACGGTGTAAAGAATACCTTTAAAAAACGCAAATTAAGAAACGCAGGTTTCAGTGACGTGTTGAGGTCGACTCCGCCCCTGTTCTCTCTCAGGTCCGCAGGTCTCCCATATAGTCTCTGTTTCCTCCTCCTGACCCGCATCGTCTCTTCAGACTCTTGTAGATCAACATGCAAAACGTACAAATAGTTACTCTTTAGCTGTGAAAAAACAACTCTGCACAGATAAATATGAAGTGCTATTTTTACACTTTTGTAGAGTGAAATGTACAACTGAATAAAAATCACATTACCACAGAAATGCATTTAACTTATTTATTGAATTAAAGCAGGTTTTGATATCCATTGTTAACTTTTGTCACAGTAACATCACATACCAAGTAGATACCAAACAAGTGCATTTGTGCAACTTAACTCTGCCCAACAAATAAAACACATAATGCCAAACAGATTTGTTCAAGTACTACTGAAGCAACCTAGCCCGAATTTCTGCCACACGAGGACTTTCTTTCACTTTACCTACGTCTATATTGTACACAGTGGTCTGGATGAATGTGAACATGTTGCATAGTATGGGGTTGTATGTTGTGGCAAACACGTAATGTGCCTTAAACAGTTCATCAAAAGCACCAAGAGAGGATGTTGACCTACAAGCAATGGCATTCTTGTCAAGGATGATGAAGAACTGTTGGGCTACTTTCTTCCTCCGTCCCACAGCAAGGAGATAGGGTTGTGTGCTCGTCGTGATGGCATCAAGATGTTCTTGGATGTTGGTTTCTATCTGTGGGGGGAAAAAAGAAAAGAACAATATAATTACAAAACTGCAATGTTCCACAAAAAACAGATATATGGAAAAACAGCATTTAACTATGTGATATCACCGTAAAACTGAAATTCTCCCAGTGAAACAACCTCGAGTATAACATAAAATAAAATTTGCAACAAATACAAACCTTCTTGAAGACCACAAGATGCTTCTCTGCTTGGGAGGCAGATACCTTCCCTGGTCTCTTACGACCCAAGGCAGAGGGGGGAATCAGGTGTAGCAGCAGCAAAATCGATGAGAGGTCACTGTCCCAACCTGTGATAAGAAACATTTGATGTTGAATTGACCATCAAAACCTAGTGACTACACAATTTAATTATGTGTACATCACTAAGTGAAGCTCACACAATAATTAAATTCTACATATTGTTGAAAGTCATCCTTACTCATGTCATTATCCACTTCAGTGCTATCCTCAGGAGTATCAGCTGCCAGGAGAAGTTCTTCAAGGTCACTGGTGGTTGGAAGCTTCCTGCATTGTTGGATGATCTTTCTCTTGAACATGGTCGTCCATTTTTCAAGAAACTTGCCAGACACATCTTCTCCAAACATCAGGACAAAATCCTGCTCCACCTAGGATGTAGATAGTAAAAAGCTTAAAACATTTCCCAGCCACTTTAACTGTATTCATTTAGACTTGTCACAAAAATACACTAATTTTACATGACTGTAAAATTATCAAAATAAATAATTACCAAGCCTTTGACATCTTTGAAATGTGGAAAGACAGAGAGTATGTTGCTTGACCTTTGGGGGTCAAGGACCATGTTGCGCAGGAAGTCAAATGTGAGCTTCATCTTCTTCTTGATTGTGTCCTCATCAGCTGAATGCTTAATCAGTGCGATGGCTTCCTTGCACTCTTCTTCACTCAGGACAGTCTCTGGAACAAACTTGGTGTCTCGTCTAGCAGCTGGTCCTCCAAGCCCTTGTTGACAAGATCCTTCTTCGGATGATGCTAGTAAAAATAAGAAAATCTTTCAACTTACAAAAACAAGAATGAGCTTGGCTGAGATTCCTCAGGCGATTCCATCATGGAGACAAATTCTAACCATAAGAGAAGCAGATGAAAGACAAAAAACAGTAATCACAATGAAATAGCAAGCTTATTAAATACTAAAATGAATTACAAATATAACAAACCAGTTTCATATTCGATGGTTAGGACTCCAGCAGAAGGATCCTTAACAACATCTTCATCCAACTCAGTCCCTGAACTGTCAACAACCTTCACGCCCTCTGTTACAGTTGGTAGGCCAAATTTTACAAATGCTAGAGAAAAGACAATGCTTGTCTACAATTATGAGGTTATGTTGCTCTAATACTCACATGTGCACATAAATTCTGGAACAATACTTTTGAATAAACAATGTCAAGTAACATTACAAACGCCTCAAAGCTTCCTGTGTAAAGCTCCCAGTGTCTTACCTGCTGTCAAAAACTCCTTCAGATTCGGCTCCGTTAGTCGGACAAATTTTTGCAGCTCGCCAAGTCTTGTTTTAATCAACATGGTTCCTGCAGCACATAATTCCTCAGTCATTCATCTTTAGTACTGGAATGCTTTCAGTTTATAGTTTATTTTAGTTCATATTTACTCTTATCAGAGTTATTTGACTAGGAGTGTTAAGTTTTATTAACACTGCACAGTAAAAGTTTGTGTGCATCTCTTTTTCTACCATAAGATATAAACTGAGATCAGAAACCTCAGCTGTGATTTGCGCTAATATTTATGACAAACGGTTGCTGAACGTATTTCTGTCATTTGCTTTTTCTGTTATTAGTCCATCTAGAGATTTATTAAAAGGAAAACAAAGAATTAATTTGCATAATGATTCATTAAGTTGTTTATAATGTGTTTCAGATGTGGAGGCTTCAGAAGGAAAACTAGTCTGTCAGTTTAACACTCATAGGAGTTATATGAGCCTCCAGTGTAAACTTTCAATAACTCGATGCAGTGTTAAATAACATGTGAACCAGAGTAGTTTTTTCACCATTATGGAGTAACTTATTAACTCTGATTAGAATCATATTTACTCTTATCAGAGTTATTTGACTAGGAGTGTTAAGTTTTATTAACACTGCACAGTGTTAGCCAGTGTAAAATTTTTACTCGATTTAGAGTTAAATTTAACTCTGAAAATGTTACACTGTTGAAAGAGTAACTTAACACCAATTCCGATAGGGAACATATAGACTCGGAAACAGTGTTAAATTCGACTCTAGGTATTGCTTTAACACTGCCAAATTTACTGTGTAACCCCCGAAGCCGTACAGAGTGCGGCCCTGCCTCTTGAGAGCGTAGACCACGTCCATGGCGGTGACGGTCTTCCTCTCGGCGTGCTCTGTGTAGGTGACGGCGTCACGGATGACTTTCTCCAGGAAGACCTTGAGCACACCGCGGGTCTCCTCGTAGATGAGGCCGGAGATTCGCTTGACTCCCCCGCGGCGAGCCAGACGGCGGATGGCGGGCTTGGTGATTCCCTGGATGTTGTCACGGAGGACTTTCCGGTGGCGCTTGGCGCCTCCTTTACCGAGTCCTTTACCTCCCTTTCCTCTGCCGCTCATGTTGATCTACAACAGTCTGAAGAGACGATGAGGGTCAGGAGGAGGAAACAGAGACTATATGGGAGACCTGCGGACCTGAGAGAGAACAGGGGCGGAGTCGAGCTCGCTCCTGGTTTTCTCCGCCGTTTCTTTAAATAGCTTTCCTTCGGCAATTCACGAATTCATTTTGAGAGGATGAAAATAAGTGATGCCCCTGATAAGTTTTTTAATACAATCAAGAGGAAAGTAAAGAGAAATCTCGTGTTTCAGTTGAGAAACAATGAAATGAATTGAATGTCGGTATTTAGTGAACTGAAGAGCTTTCAAAAGTAAAATGACAGAAGCCTCCATTGTCTTATTGATAGGACTGTTGCATAATCACGTGTTTATGTTGAGTGGATGTGAATCAACAGTAGATATTTATATTATATTCTTGTACATTATGGACTGAATGGCAAGAATGAGCATTTTATTCATCTGATTATCAGTTTGTGGAATAGCGTTTCATTCTTCCTTTTATTTTTTGCAATGAAAACTTATCAAAAAATCAATAAAAAATCAATTATGAGTGATTAGTTCAGTTTAATATTTGATGAGAACCTACAGAAAAATGATCCGTTATACAGTTACCTGATTTCCTAAGTGTCTCAGAAACTTTTTATACAGTGAAATTCATGTCTGCATACAATTTAAGAGCATGAGTTTGCCTCAGACTACATACTGCTCATTAAAACATGATATAACTGTTAACTGTAGCGTTACATTAATTTGTATAATCCAAAAATTTGACTTTGGTAAAGAAGTGAAGTGGCTGAGATTGTAGTTCAGAACCAGAATCACTTTTTATTCCAACATTTCCACTGGTGAATGAAATGAAATGTGACTTTATGAACATGAAGTCAGTGGTGGTTTAGTGTAATTTGTCCACTAAGCGTGTTGAGTGAGCTCACGTCATTGAAACTGGACGAAAAAGTTCCTGACCCCAAAGCTTCCTCTGCTATGTTTCTCTCTGTTGTTCCTCTGAACGTTTTATATTTTATAGTCGTCAAACAGAACATGTTGGCAGTTTCATAGCCACAATTATAAACCATTGGACGTTTAAAAATAGATATTATGATAAGTCACCGAAATGGTCAAACCACAAAATATCCACATTAAGACCATCAGATGCAATAATTACCCACCAATAAACAAAGAGCTGGAAGTTTTTTTTTCTCCCCTTTCATTTTATGATTTTATCTGAAATGACAAGTTACTAGGTATACTTTCTGGGTGAAAGTCTAAACTGGGTTTTGTTATTGAAATATACATCTTTTGTCAGGACAAGTTGATAAATAAAATTTAAGCCTCTATCATGGATAGGAGTTTATGGGGAGGCCAGACAACTGCCTGATTAAAATGTCCAAACTTCATGGTCGACCTTTGAGTTTTTTGTTTTTCTTTTTGCTGCAGCCACATGAAGTTTGTGAGCAGATATGACACCCCAAGTTGGGACTCTTTCAGATTTTAAAGTGCAGTCATAGCTGCTTTAACTTGCAAGAGTTTTTTTCTTTTTACATTTCTCCACCTACCTTTTAGTTTAGCTTAAAGTCATAAGGAACATGGCTCTGCAGACGCAGTGAGTGGCTCTTAAAAGAGCCTTTGGGTTGTTGCATTCACAGCATTAGCCGGTCTACTTGGAGCTGGTGTACTTGGTGACAGCCTTGGTTCCCTCAGACACGGCGTGCTTGGCCAGCTCACCGGGCAGCAGGAGGCGCACTGCGGTCTGGATCTCCCTGGAGGTGATGGTGGATCGCTTGTTGTAGTGAGCCAGACGGGAGGCCTCGGAGGCGATGCGCTCAAAGATGTCGTTGACGAAGGAGTTCATGATGCTCATGGCCTTGGAGGAGATCCCGGTGTCGGGGTGGACCTGCTTGAGCACCTTGTAGACGTAGATGGCGTAGCTCTCCTTCCTGGTCCTTCTCTTCTTCTTGCCTCCCTTGCCGGCGGTTTTGGTGACCGCTTTCTTGGAGCCCTTCTTGGGCGCAGACTTGGCGGGTTCGGGCATGTTGTCTCTGAAAATTGACAGCGACGAATGACTGTCTGTGAGCGGTGAGGTCTCTGTTATACACCCAGCATGCAAATAGAGCTGCGCCATCCCTCGGCTGTGATTGGCTGTTTCGCTCAGTGGGTAAAACAACAAAGCGCCGACTTCAAAACGAGTCACGTGGGGTTTAGCGACAAAGAAAGAGGCGGGAGTTCATTTTACTTCATAGAGTCTGAATGTTTTCTGCTCGTTTCAACTCACTTCTGTTCATTTAATGACCCCAATTCACAATTGAATGAACTGAACCAGACGGTTGTCACGCAGTAAATTCACATCAGTTTGTATTGTTTTGTACTGTTTCTTATTATTCTACCCATCTAAAGAGGGGCCTTTTTGGAGGTTTTATCATATTCAAGAACTCACCAAACTTGGCGACAAGGGAGTTTCAAAATTTCGTATTTTAAGGTCGTTGTAGAAATCGCAAATGAAACGGCTCAACGGCGCCACCTAGCAATTTTTAAAAGCTCATTTGCTATTCCTTACTTCATCTTAGAGACATGAAATTTGGTACGCTTGTAGAGCTCCCCAAGATGCTCAGAATTTACAATTAATGTCATAGTGCAAGTGTTACAGGATGTCGGCCATTTTAGATTGAAGTTCTGATTTTGACCCGATTTATCTCCTACACAGAAACTCACAGAGGCACCAAAGTTACTGTGATTGATCATCATCGGGTGTCTGACAATACCCAATGGTCGAATGATGACATCATTCGACCATGATGACATCACTTAGGCCACGCCCCCTGATAACTTAGTGATAATGGTCAGATAATGGTTGCTATCTGACCCCTTTGACCTCATCAACATGAAGCTGTACCCAGAGACAGAAAACATGTTGGTGTGTTGAGGATTCCAACCCTGACCGGCTTCGATGGAGCATGTGGGCGTGGCGGCGTGGCAGACTTTGACTATTCGCTGTCAAATATCAAGATTCAGTTACTTCCATATGCAAGATTACAGCTGCATCACACATCCTGTGTCTCTCTACAGAACAATCCTGAACACATTTCCATGATGTCATCAAGTGACCCGCCCACTTTTAATCATCTGTTTTTTCTTTTGTATGTTTTACTGTTATTCTATCATTCATATGGGTTTCATCATGTGAAAACTGACTAAAAACGATAACATGATGAACTCTGTGAATGCTGGCTGCTGACCAAACCGCATTGGGGTGGAGAAATGGCGAGCTGCAGTCCTTCGCCATGTGCATACGATCGGCTCTAAATCACACATGGATCATCCGACTGGCGCCAAATTGGATATGTATGACCTTTGTTGACCTCTAAAGAACCCAACAGCATTGAAATGTATTTTGACTCCACTGCGCCCCCTACATTCATCCACCAGCTATATCTCCTCGCTAAATCCACCAATCTGCACCACATTTTTTGTGCGTCGTCAGGGAGTGCCGCAGAACGCATCGATACGTACCGCCTGGTGGACGGATGCAGAAACTGCACAACAGCTTCTGTGGTGGCTGGCGGGTGGCGGTTGCTAGTACCCTGCGGTGGCCAATAGGCCGGAGCGGCGCTTGGCTGCGAAGGACGCAATACTCGAAATACTCCAGGAAAAAAAAGCCAGTTTAACCAGTCATACATATTCAACTTTTTTTTTAAAAGTAATTTGTTTTATTTCAAACAGGTTTTTCAGAGGGAAAAAAAGAAGAAATCAGAAGAAAAAAAAACACCCAGAAACAAAATAGTCAGTATAGTTTCTTCGCACAGTAAATCAGGAGATCAGAGAACAAACGATTCACTTCATGTCACACGGATTTCAAAGCTTTATTTGTGAAACAAGCAAAAGCTGCGCTGGCATGTAAAAGGGGTTTTGTATTAAACACCCATATTAATCATGATGCAGGGGGGAAAAATAAAAATAATTTCACCTGAAGAACTTTCTTTGGGGTTTTTTTCTACAGGGTTGCTGGAGCAGGTTAAAGGGTTTGAGAGATAAAGAGGCATTCCTGAAGTATTTCTAATCACCTCTCAGTCGATCCAGACGGAGATATTAAAACGTCTGTGGAACCAAAAACCCACAGCAGGAGGAGAGCAGGTGCTTCTGCGCCGTTCATTGGTTTGAGCTTTTGACTCAAAATGAACAGGAAGGCACAATCTGCCCACTTTATCGCAAGCCACAGTCACAGACTCTCTTCTTCCCGTCGGGACCTTTTTAACTCTGCATTTTGTTCTCGCCACTTTCACCACAAACACCGGCAGCTTGAATTCACTGGTGCACAGGTTGCCCTCCTGGTTCCAGCCTTTGCCGTTGCAGATTTCTACGATAAGGTTTTTGTTTGAGCTCTCGATGAAGGTCTGAGTTGGTTCCTCGCAGCGATTCAAGAGGCTTATGTGTCTAGGGAAATAAATATATTGTTTTAAAAAAAAAACATTCATGTTTTTCATTTAAAGAAAGTTTTTCTTCATGATGTCACAAGTCCTTCAGTTAAACTCACATTATGAATTAGAGTGTGTTTGATTTGAACTGAATCACATGCAAACCACAGTTCATAGTTGT